GCAATAATATTATTGTGGTGGACTTTAATATTATTAATATATTAATTGTGGGGTTAATAATATTATTGTGGTGGACTTTAATATTATTAATATATTAATTGTGGACAGTATTAATATATTAGAAGCCCTTATCCTATTCTCCTTAGGTCCCTACTGTAGCTCTATATATACAGCATTAGGCTCATGGAAGAAGAGAACACAATCCCATAACTTGGGAAGTCGTCCGCCCCTCTCTCTCTCTCTCTCTCTCTCTCTCTCTCTCTCTCTCTTCCAAGGAGTAGTTCTATTTCTTGTGCTCCACTGATACAAGATCTAGATAGCTGTTTGAGAATACAGTAGAAGATCTTAAGGTATATACGGGATTCCAATCAGATCTATTATACATTCAAACCAGAGACCAAAACCAGTAAGTGACCATACCACGACGACCAGGACGACGAGACGAAGAGATCGCCGTCGAGATCGCCGCCAGCCGCCGCCGCACGCGCCGCCACGCGCCACCGGAAGGGAGCAGCTGCCGGAGCTTACTCGCGCGCGTGAGAGCGCGTGAGACCTCCGTTTTCCGATCGGTCAACGTCGTTGACTTCGCCGTGACGTCAGCTTTCTGGATTGGTCAAGTTTGTTCGATTCCGAGAAGATTTGATTTGCGATCAACTGTTCGGGCCAGCCAGATCTACATAAATTTTAAGCAGTAAGTTTTCTTAATCAAACCTTTAGATCCGCTCCGCATAGGTTTATGTTGAATGTTTGTCCGTGATTTGTGCATATCGAGATCCTCATATGTCCCAACAATACATATTCTATTTAATTTTATTTCCTAATATTTGTGTTTTTAAGGTTTTACAGGGATATAGAATCCATGGCTCAATAATAATAAAAAAAAATTACGTAATTTTGTTCAAACGTTTTTGGAGTCATTGGTATCCACACTAGTAACGCAAAACTCTCTGACCGGCTGGAATTCAGTCCACTTTCTTCCTTCTTGTCGGTAGAACGCCACGTACCTACAAAGAATTCTCACACCGAAAGGGTAGAGTCTCTGAAGCTTAAGTCACTGTTTGTTCAATTAATTTTTAAAGGTAAAACTCAATCAATGTTTAACAAGAAAAGCTCATCCCTATATATAGTGGTGAGATACCTGACCTAAGGGCTGCCCAGATCCGATGAGCTTTCTGCCCAAGCCTGCTCGTCCGTACACACACAGTGTGCGTGTGTCAGGGGTGGCTATCGCCACTACCTCCTGCATCAATCATTTCACGCCACGTGTCCTCTGCACATTGGGTAAATATTCCCCTACAATCCCGCTGACATATACTGATATTCCGTTAGAGGCTATCTGGGTCAATCCCTTAAGTCGTCTTCAATTTATAAGGTGGTCGACCATCAGGTTGTTCTCGGTTTGTAGGGCGGCCACTTAGACGATTCCTTGCTCGACAAGTCGATCATCGACCAGATCTCTCTTGGATCTAAACCGATATGTACCCCTCATGTTGGAATCCTCCTTATCCCGTCCTTCGTGACATTCGACCCCAACCGCTCTGCTCGTACTATTTGACCAATGTAATCCCCTTCATATTCGAATTTGTTCGACCGGTCTAGAGAGCTGATTTATTCCTATAGGTATAATATCCATATCACACACTTTATTGTAGCAACAATGGCGGCATATATAAAACTACTATGACAAGATTCAAGATAAATTTCATGGTGAACTTCAAGATGAAAATTTCCCGAAGTTTATGTATCACTTTAAAAGTCTTACCGATTTGGCTAAAGACTCCTTTTGTAAGAACTCATCGTTGATCGATAATTATATCTTATGCATATAAAAAATAAAATATATATTTTAGTTATTGAGGATTAATTTATATAACTATTATACCTGAAGAACTTTGTATTTATTGCATGAATAGGTAATTATATCTTATCCATATCAAAGATAAAATATATATTAGTTATTGAGGAGTAATTTATATGAATGTTATACCTGAAGAACTGTATTTACGTATGACCAACTTTATGCGTTGTTTCACAAGTAACAAATGTGAAATGATTGAAAATATTAATTTTTTGATGATAAAAATAGCTCAAAGACGAAAAACGTTGTATATGAGGAAGTGTTCAATAATATTTACTCGCTAATGCATCTGTATGAATTGCAAATGCTCTTTTAATAATTTTTTTTCGGCAGCTGCTGTGCATTTGCACGGGCAACTGTACTAGCATATTAGTTAAGAGTAAGTAGGAAACATGTGAGACCCATAAAAAGGAAGTTTATGGAGATTATTGTATTGGAGGTTTATGGGTGTAGGAGTAAGACTGATGTTTGAATGATATAACATATTAGGAAGTGTAAAAAAGGTTTATGAAGGCCTATACCTATAAATCTTGTGATCTGAATATATCCACGATAAACGAATAACTTTTTTTTTCCTTATTTTTTCTCCTTAAGAAACCAGTGTTGGCAGACACACTCACCACATAATACACTTTAAATCAAAATTGTCACACAGCAGGCTATTGGGTTTTATTCCCTCTATGGCTCCTCAATTTGCTGCTATTATCTTCTTTTGCACTTCTCCTGGACCCTGACGAGCCTGCCGTCCGATTAATCGTTGATTTCGTATTTCCAAACTTAAGGGCCACGATTGGCTTGATATACAACATTCCCGGATTATGTCTTTTCTCTTTCGACAGTGCCTTTAGCTGAGGCAACCAGTACGCAACAAAGTCGCCATCAGGATCATAGTTTTGAGCCTGCATTACATATCAACAGGGGGCTTTTAACTTCCAAGGAAATTGAAAATACAATCATTTTGCTCTTTTCACAGAAAACGATTCTCAACATTACTTGTTTAGGAATGCTGAAATAACGATCCTCTCTCGGGTCATTCCCAACACCTAGCAAAAGAAAACAAAGAGTGATAACCTTTTAAACCTTATGGGGGATCGATTATATATAACTATTACGACTCGAATGCGCATGAACGATCTCTAGGTAATTACCTGCTCCATAGGTCCAATTTCCATAATTGGAACAAGGGTCATAATCGAGAAGGCATGACTCAAACCATTCGGCTCCCATTCTCCAGTCGATGCCCATATCTCGAACAAGAAATGAACACACAATCTGTCGAAAAAAATTTAACACTAAATTTGCTGGAAAAAAAAATATATATATAACAAAAAATTATTGAATTGTTTTTAAAATTCACCTGCCGCCCACGGTTTGACATAAAGCCAGTGGCCGATAATTCTTTCATATTTGCATCAACTACAGGATACCTAAAGGGTGACCGGTGATAAAATCAATTTTCAGAAACTTTGGAAATGATTTACAGAATTTTCCACAATTAAATATTGGAAAAAGAATATATCAATACTGATAAAAACTTTAAACACTACATACCCAGTTCGACCATCCCTCCAGGCATCGAAGAGTGCTTGGTCCTGGCTCCAATTAGGCTTTACATTCCGTGGACCGCCTGACAAAAGGAGACAGTTTATATAAAGATCGTGTCACTTAAAAGTGTCGGGTGATTAAATTTTTACAAGACTATAATATCAGTTCATTTACCTGAGTGAAAAATAGAGTTTCCTTGCTTGATGGATAGAAACCTGAAGTAGTCCCTCCATATAAGTTCAAACAACACCCTGGAGGAAAGAACAAAAAAATCTATCATTTTATATAAAAAGAATAACTTTTTTTACAAATTTAGAAACAATTTTCCGCCAAAATAATTAATTACATACTAAAAATAGCATAATTAAAAAAGTTTTAACTAAATGCCTATTTATTTGGAATGAGGATAAAATAGCATAATTAAAAAAGTTTTAACTAAATGCCTATTTGTTTGGAAACAATCCGATAAAAAATACGAAATATTTTTCAAAACTTTTTGTCCATAATTATCTCAATACAACACATTTTAAATATTTGAAAATAATCCCTATTTATATGGATTCTTTCAATTATTTTTGGTATATAAAAAAAAAAACTGAGATGGGCTATTTGGTTTCCAAAAAAATCAATAGCAATAATTTGGTAATTATTTGCGAATAATTTATATGCATACGTAATTTTTTATTTAAGTTAATGTGAAATCTATAATCGATCTAATCTATAGATTAAAATTTCTACCTAATTTATTTTTATTTTTATTGATATGTTACCATAAGATTTGAAGAAATATTGACTAATAAAATTAAAAATTTGTAATTTTAATTCTAGAAAATTAGTTGATAAATTTGAACGATAAGGTAACCGACAACAACTCTAGAAAATTACGAGATAATATATATAATATATTCATATATCAAATATGTAAGAGAATTTAGTGTGTAGTACGAATTTGAGTTCCAAATTCATAAGTCAAATAAGTAATTATTCATAACTTACGAGTCAACATTAACTTTGACGACGTAAATGAAATAGTCAATTATTCATAGTTTAATAAATTACTCAACCACTTCAATTTTATGATTTGAATATTATATATAAAAACAAAATCATCTAATTAATGAAACAATATAAGATTTATAATTATACTTATTATTTACATATATTTTAAATACACGAGAAAAATTTACAACTTAACTATAAATTCGATCCGATTTAAAAAAAAAAATCGATTGTGTTTTTTATTCCAAACAATCAGATTGCCGAAATATTTCCTTATAACTTGAATTGAAAATTTAAAATTCAAAATCCCTTCTCATTTTAGTTGTCATAAAATTGGGTTTAATTCAAAATCTCTTCCTAATATAATGGATTTTGTTCAAATTGAATTTCAAAAATATCTGATCACATGCTTCTATCCATATACTTAAATGAAGGATTTTGTGCCACTTTAAAATTAACAAACCTCTTGAAAATTACAAAATCATAATGAATTTCCATTTTTTTGGTTTCAATCTGCACGAAATTCAAAATTGTTTTAAGAATTTCAAATCAATTAAAATTCATTTCTTTAAATTTTTTCCATAAGTTTCAATATTCTACAATAATTAAGTCAAATTACAAATGCATTGTTTTAAAAATCAAGTGGATAATTTTGAAAATAGAAAGATTTTTTTTAAAAAAAAAAAATTGTCTTAGTCTCCATTCAATACAAAATAAATCCCATTTTATTTGTAAAATTGATAAATCTACATAAAACGTGGAATTTTATACCTACAAAATTTATTTTTACAGTAACTAAAAAATAATAACAATTTTGAAATCTTCTGTACTCAAATTACTTAGAATAATAATAATAATAATAATTTGTACAGTATCTAAAAAATAATAATAATTTTGAAACTTCTGTACTCAAATTACTTAAAAGAATAATAATAATAATTTTGAAATTTTTTGTTCTCAAATTACTCAAAAGAATAATAATAATAATTTTAAAATCTTCTATACTCAAATTTTCAGGTACGGTAGTATCGTCATAATTTTCAGCATCATGTCAATATTTATTTTATATATACTAGGTAAATTTTCTTTCAATAACTTTATAATGTATTATTAGGCTTATAATATTTTATCATGTCATATTCAGAAAAAATTTTTCATACAAATGTAAACTTTAATGTTTTTAGATATATTTTCTTTACAAAATAGTTTAGAAAAGTTGTAGGTGACTTCACATCTTTTAATAATAATATGGAAAATTTTAGATAATTTTACATATGTTAATATAATATTTTTGGAGTTTTTAATTGGTTGAATATACAAATTTTATGTTCTCTTGAACAAGCTAATTTTATATCGTTTATAATAAACTGATATACCGTAAATTATATGACATGTTAACCCCACATTATTAATTTATAATTATTATTTGATATCGTTTACCCTCATCTTTAATTTATAATATTTTTTCTTGCTCTTTTAAGAGAGAATCAATAGTGGTTTCCCACTTCTTTCATTGGGTGACTCGAACTCGATATCTATTTATAATTATTATTTAATATTGTTTACCCGTGCATCGCAGGGGATACGCACTAGTAGAAGAAAAAAGTTTCTAGCTTTCAGGTTATCAGACATTTACATTAACAACATCGTAAATTTCAGAAAGTTATCAGACTCTAAATTTCACAATTATATGAGTAGAAGAGGAACGCATTTTTAAGGATGTTCTAAAAAGAGGATGAGACGAAACATACCAATAGGTGGAGTCATTTGCTTCTCTCTGCTTTTCATATCTTTTCACCTAAATAAGTTAAAATTTCATCAGTATCAGAGTTTCATAAACAAATCATGTTTCTTAATATGGTACCAGATGAGAATACAAAAGTATCTTAAAACCTCTTCGTAAATATAACGGGGTGAAAGGCTTCCAGTGGCAAGCCAAGGAGAAAATTTTGTTGAGTAGTCAGGTCCCAACATTCCATTTCGGGTCACTTTATACGTCCGCAAGAGGTCCTACAGAAACGAGCAAACTCATTCAGCATGGTTTAACCTCGAAACATCATTTGCAGAAAATTTTCAGAGTGCAAAAACGCGTCGACGCTTTCCAAAACTAGTGGAGAACAAAAGTTTCATTTGCGATCTAAAACAGCTTCTATCTAGGCATGGATTTATTCTTTTAGCAGCCAAAGTTGAAATACCAAGACGAAATTTCACCTTCTTCCAGAAGTATTCGTGTACTCTACTCAATGCTGCAGTTTCACCTCCTCTAAAAGACATTCCTTTACCAACCTGTATCAACAAATACAGACACAAATTAACCACAAAGAAAATAATTATTAGCTCCACAAAACTAGAGCCTGTCATAAGGGATAAATGATGTGTATATACAAATACAAACATGCCTTTGCATGTTGAACACCAAGTGATGAAATGTCGGGAATGCATCCCCAATCTTCGACGTCTGGCGTGGGCCCAAGCGATGCTGGTACCTTAATGCAACTCCTAATTACAGACTTTGACTCGACTGACTGTATTTTTTATAATCGTAAAACTAATATTATTATAATTTAAATATGGAAAACAAAACAAAGTCTCTTATAACATGTATATTATGTGCATTCAGAGTTGTGACAGTTAAGAAAGTACCTTTCGAAACTGAGTATAAACGTCAGGCAAGGACGTGCAGTCAAACGGAAGGTCGTCAATATGGTACATGGTTGTACCCCATATCAATTCCAGTTTACAAGACTCCAGTTTTTTCAAATTTTTGGAAACACGCCTCTCCACATTTAGCTCTTCACTGCATGTTTCTTTCTGGGAGTAAATCTGTTATTTGATCAATAAAATTCCATTAACAGATAAGAGTTATATACAAATGTTCCCAATCGTGCTACTTAAAACATATAAGTTCAGCGTTTTGTACAGTGTGGGCTCCATATGCTTTTGCAAGAGAAGGAAGAATTTGCTCAGGCTTGCCGTGTTGTATTAAGAGGTTAAGACCCCTTTTCATCAGATTTCTTTTCAAGTCTGTCAAACACTCTAAAAGAAACTGTGCTCTCAAAGCTGCCACAAAAAAAAAAAAAAAATAATAATAATAATAATAATAATTCAATTTGTAACAAAATAAACTGACAGCCGAATCCAATCCTTATAACCACAGAGTTCACAAACACATAGAAAGAGATTGTTGGCTGTAGGCTTATAATAAAGAAAACGGTAACTGTTAGAAAAAATTCTAGTGTCTTATAGAGGCATTGTGCTACTAATTCTGCATAAATAATTCATAATGTATAAAGACTGAAAAATTACTTTTAACGCACAAATAAAGCACTTTCAAATGTTATTCACTAAACAATTCTTGATTCTGCCACCATAAGTCGCTTCAAAAAGCCGCAGTCTTCACGAAAAACTCCAAGATTTTCCAAAAAAAGTTTAGCACTTGCACTTATATTCATAGAGGCATCGTGCTACTAATTCTGCGTAAATTATTCAGAATGTATAAACACAAAAAATTTACTTTTACGCATAAATAAAGCACTTTCAAATGTTATTCACTACACAACTCTTGATTCTGCCACCACAAGTCGCTTCAAAAGCCGCAGTCTTTACAAGAAAAACCCGAGACTTTCCAAAAAAATGTTAGCACTTGCACTTATATTTATTCAATAATAACAAACAGAACTGGTCAAATCAGACGCAATACACACAAAACTATAAACTGTAAACCCAGCTTCACACTGAACACAATCACAGTACCACATTGTTCTGTCCACGAAATTCTTTCAAGAGAAAATCAAACTGCAGCAAAAACAAAATACTAATCACACTACTACCAATCACAGTCTAACCCAGAAAAAAAAAATAATATAAAAGCTAAAATTGAAAGTAGATTATTAACAAAGTATCAAATCTGACCATTTTCTCCAATTTCAACAAAAATGAAAAAAAAAAAAAAAAGATAAAAGAATTTCGGGCACCTCCAGTTTTGGGCAAACCGAAGTAATATGTGGTGGACCCGAAAATTCTGGGGTCGAGACAATAAACAGGCAGGACAGCCTCGGACGAAGCCCACGCCCTGAGCAAAACCTCGTTGTCCAAGATCCTCAAATCGTTCCTAAACCAAACAACGGAGACCCCTTTCCCATTTTTGCTCAAGGAGGAACCATCAAAACTGTATCTTTGCAGGGTCTGCTCGGAGACCCGCTCCGATTCCTCCGGGGCGAGACCCGGGACGTGGTGCACCGTCTGCGCAGCTCGTGCTGCGTTCGAGGGGTTTTGCATTGTGCAGGAAAATGGTGAAAGAAATGTGGGACTGAGTGAGAGTAGCTTTGTTGAGGAGAGATTAAACAGAGGGATTACGGCGGGACGTGAAATTATGGTGAGATTGTGGATCATCGTCTGTTTCACTTGTAATCGTTTATCAGTGGTGTATTATAAGGAAATTTTGAGTTAGGTGGGGGGTTTACGATCGTTATTAACAGTTGGGAAGTTGACGCGTGGGCTACTGAACAAGCTGTTGACGTGGCGGCTTCATAGCCAATGGGTCTTTTCTCAACACCCTCCGAACGAAAAGAAAAAGTTAGTGAACACATAAAATATGTTACGATCTAGGAGTTTATAACCGTTAGATCAACTATCTGACAGTTACATGATGATCCTGTTATGGAATCGTTTTATAGGGGTTTGTGACCATTAGATCAACTATCTCTGATAGTTATATGATAATTTAACGGTTAAAAATCCTGACGAAATTGTTTATAATTTTTAAAATTGAAATAGGTATTAATAGAGTCCAGATTTACATGGGCTACTTCAAATCACACTTGTGTATTATACGGTGTTAGATAAAAAAAAAATTCATAACTAAATTTAAAACGTAATATATAAAAGTAGTGGTTTTAAAATCTTACAAACTTAGATTACTATTTATGTTTAAAACTAGTACATAGCCCGTGCGATGCACGGGGTGCACAATTTTAAGGTTATTTATCCAGCCTTATAATTATATAAATGAATAAAAAAATATACGGGATATATATAGTACGGGACTGGTGCCGAGACACGGGATATATTTGTTTGGGGAATATTATATAATAAGATGCAATATTCAATAAAAGTTTTATAGTACGCAAAAAAATTATACAATAAAATAGTATCCGACAAAAAAAATCATATATTATTAAAGACCTCCTTGTACATAGATATTAAATAATTTATTAGTAAACTAGTGTATAAGTTGATTACAATAACAAAACAACATGCTCACGGGATTAGAAAAATATTCCATGGATTGAAGATTTAATGGGATTAAATATTTAAATTAATTAATTTAGATAATTTAAATTAGATAATTCAAAAGCCTTCCA